CATGGGTTGAGAACCGCTGGAGCTGAATGTGGAAAGGGTCAGAATTGAATGGAAATCATATAAATATTATATTAAACTTCTTGGTAGTCCAGAGAAACAAAGTGTAAAAGAAAACCTAATTTGGGAGTTGATGGTATCCTAGAAGTGCTGCATATCTTGGTGTTTTAGAACATTAAGTAATCTGTAATCTTCATAGAAGGCACGCACCTATCTTGTCTGTTCCTATAGAAAGTGTTCAGTTATCTTTCTGCTTTGGGTTCAGTCTGCCTAGATTTTTTAATATAAATTTTTGTTGTAAACAGACACAGTGGGTCAAATTCTGAAGAACAGAATCACATCTACACTCCTCAGCATGTCCTCTGGGGGTATGACGTGGTCTCTCCCCACGGACACCATCACCCCCCAAATCTAACTTCACGCCATCGATCTAAGTCCCTCTGCTGTGGCCTGTCTGCACAGGCATCCCTCATGTTCCAGATTGTTGTCTCCTGTTTCGGGCTTTTTGCTGTCACACCTAGTGGGCTTCTTACCTACATGAGAGTGCCTGCTGGTGCCCTCACCGCCCTGCCCCAAATAAAAACCCACAGCATCTGACTAACCCCATGCACCTGAATCTCAGCTCCAGCCTTGTCTTGCAGGGCCACCTAATGCCCGTCCCTCCAAGGACCTCTGCTGCTCTCCCAGGGGCCCCGTGTGGATAGCACTAGATTTGTGATGATGTGTGTGTCTGGTGTCTCTCTGTCCCTGGGCCTGTGAGCTCCAGGCCCTTTTGCTATTTTCCCTGTGACTGTTCCAGAACTATGCAATAGCTCAGAGAGCATTTATGTGAATTGTCAACATTTCAAATGGTGCGTGGCTGACAGTCGCAACAGCACATGACACGAGTTAAGGTTTTCTTCTTAACCTCACAGTAGGAAGAGGAGGTTTGTCATGCAGAAGAGGACAGATCTGTGAACATGGGACTGGCCCAAAGCTGAGCTGGAAGTGTCCAGTTAGAGCTCGTATGCAGTGGCAGGAGTGGAGACAGGTGAACTGGATACTTGCCATCCCTCTCAGCCAGCTCTGTGGGAGCGCGGTGCCTTGCCTGTCCTGAGCTGAACATTGTGATGATTTACTCCTGTCCTCCAGATTTACTCCAGAATGATGTTAGTGTGTGCCATCCTTGGGAAAATTGAGCAGTCATGTTCTGTGGAGCGGGGCTATTTGAGAAAGTCTGCTGGGGTCTGCAGTAAGCTCAGGGAGACAAAGCTGGAGCTTGGGATTGCTGTAGCTCCTGTTGGTTCTAAGAAACCAACGGTTTGCCTTCCTCCCTGTGAGCAGTGTGGTTCATCCCGCCTTGTCCTTTCAGAGACTCGCTGTGAGCAAGATGGACATTCCCCAACAGTGCCACCCACACCTCCCCACCCTTCGCCAACTCTAGCACCTGAGATCCCCTCGGTGCAGAAGTACAACGTGAGTGACGCCAACGGGACCTGTCTGCTGGCCAACATGGGGCTGCAGCTGAACATCACCTACGAGAAAAAGGACAATACGGTACGCTCAGCTCCAAGGAGCGCTTTCTCTTTGTACGTTGGAGTGTTGGTGCACAAGTATCGGAATTCAGTGTATGTGCGTTGCCTTTTATTTTATTTATTTATTTATTTATTTATTTATTTATTTATTTATTTATTTTTTAAGTGCTTAGCCTAGTGCCTGGCACAGAGTAAGCTTTTTTATTTTTTTTTAATTTTATTGGGGAATTGGGGGAGGGGAACAGCCAAGTTGTTGTCCTTCAATCTTAGTTGTGGAGGGCACAGCTAGCTCAGCTCCAAGTCCAGTCATGCCTTTAGGCTCAAGGTGCCATTGTTCAATTAGTTGCGGGTGGGTGTAGCCACCATCCCATGCGGGAGTCGAACCAGCAGACTTTATCCACTGAGCCATCCGGTCAGCAGCTTAGCTCAAAGTGCCGAGTTCAGTCTTTAGTTGTGGGCGGGCGTAGCCCACCATCTTTAACAGGCAACCTTATTGTTAGGAGCATGTGCTCTTTAACAGCTGGGTCATCCTGCCACCGATTGGCAGCTCAGTGGCATCTCAGCTCGGGCGCAGCTCACTGGCCCATGTGGGAATTAAACCGGTGGCCCTGTTGCTCAGAGCTTGCACTCTTGAGCGAGCTCTTAACCAACTGAGCCACTCGGCTGACCCCATGCATTGCCTTTTAGAATGTGAATCAGAGAGAACAAGTCAGTGTGCCTGTGTCTGTAGTAAGCTAATTGGCACACAGCCATACCCACCCCTTTACATGCTATGGCTGCTCTCCTCTGAAACAGCAGAATCAAGTGATTGTGACAGAGACTGTTGTGTGGTCTACAAAGCCTAAAATGTGTGGTGTTTGGCCCTCCACAAGACAAGTTTGTTGACCCCTGAGAGAATGTTAAATTTTGCTTAAACTTATACCACTCAAATATTTAAGTGTTATTTTTATACTTTTCCTTTGAAATATTATTTCTCCATAATGGTGACAAAGTCTGTAAGGCTGGGGCAGGTAACGTGCTTGTGATAAATGTAAAGTGTGTGACCATTGGGGGACAGGGTGAGAAGGATGCTGGGATCTATACCTTTCCCTTAAATTTGTGTCATTCTGAAAGTAGCAACCAGAAGTAGCAGGAAAAATTATTTTGGAATCTAGAAATCTGCACTAGTTAAAATTCCTAGTGCTTTCATTCTGGTTTTGGCTAAAATGAATGTGGCCTTGAGGTTACTGTTTTTCAGGATTGCTTTAGTTTTTTCAAGAATGGAAGACTCAAGAGTGTGGGACAGAATAGTGACTTGTTTGCTTTTCTTACTTAGACTGTGACAGGAGTATTCAATATCAACCCAAATAAGACCCATTTCAGTGGGAGCTGCACTGCCCAGCTGGTGACCCTGGAACTCTGGAGCCCGAACACCATGCTCCTAGCCTTCCAGTTTGGAAAGGTGAGGGTTCACGTTCCTCTGTTACTCTAGGGTCTTCTGTGTCAGATCAGCCTGGTATCTTCGCGTGTGTCTCACTGTGGTTTTCTTTCTACTGAGTTTTCTCTCACATAGTGCCTCGTGGCACTATGGCTGCATCAGCTAAGCTGAGCACACCATGCACAACCCCAGGTGAAAATAGACAGTCCTGAAACCCACAGCCCTGCCTTAGGAAGGAGTCTTTTCTCTCCTTTCCTTTTTTTGCCCCTCGACTTTCTCTCCCTTCCCTTCTTTTGTTTACAAATGGGCCTTCATTTATTTATTCATCAGACATTAGGCGGAGTGCCTCCTGTGTGCCTCCTGTGTGCCCGATGGCCACTGTTAAACACCAGGCAGCAGCCAGACTATGGCTGCAGATAGGGAAGGGCGACTTTAGGGCAGATGCTCAGCATGGCCCCCTGCGTCCAACACTGTCCTTGCCCCTTTACTGAGGAGCAGCATTTCTGCGTTCTGTATCTTTTCTTTATACCTGCCTACAAAGAATCATATGTAAAATGAACAAAACAATAGGGGAAGAACAGAAATTCAATGCATGAATATTTGTAGTACACTATGCACATGAACCGATTAACAGTTGGGTTTCTCATAATAAAGTTTAACTTTCCTCAAGTTCAGTAAACATTCAGGAAAAGTACTTTTTTGGAATATGGATCCTTTAGTCCTCATTTTAGTAGAGAATCTGATTCTGTGAAAAAGTCTGGAAGGAACTAATCAAAATTTGTGTTCTTGAGATTTATATGGTTCCTTTTATAGACAGGATACTCTGCAGTTTCATTCTAAAGCTAGAAACACGGGAGGTTGAATTTATTAGAAATGATGCTTTAAGTTTAATAGTAAACATGTGAAATCTGGTGCGCGGTTACGGATTATCTCTTCTTTTTAAGAATGCAAGTTCTAGCCGGTTTTTCCTGCAAGGAATTCAGTTGAACATGACTCTCCCCGAAGCCAAAAGTAAGATCCTCCCCACCCCACACACAGAATTCACCAGCCCATCCAGCTGCCCCAGAACACTGACTCTCATGTGCCTTTGCAGCCCCCACCTTCAAAGCCACCAACAGGTCACTGAGAGCGCTTCAGGCTTCCATGGGGAACTCCTACAGGTGTAATGCGGAGGAACGCATCCAGGTCACAAAGGCCTTTTCTGTCAACATATTCCAAGTGTGGGTCCAGGCTTTCCAGGTAGAAGGTGGCAAGTTTGGGTCTGGTGAGTACCACCAAGGGCAGCATTTCACACTCTGCGTGGGGTTTAATAGGCTTGGGTTCTGTTTAGATATTTAATAGCTTCTGTGCTGCAAGGAGGGGTTGGGCTTGGGGGGGCACTTTCCCAGTCCAGGAGATTTTTAGAGCAAATTCCCCTTCCTGTGTTAACTTTGCTTTCAAAACACCCAACATATCTTAGATGTGAACACATCACCATTTGAGCAAAGGTAGTCATTTTGAGAAATAGTGTGGCTGTTCTCCCTGTGAAAGTGGGATATAAAAGTGCTGCCTGCTTGGTGAGTTCAGTGTTCCAGAAGAGCCCACAGGCCCTGGCCTGCACACTGACCATGTCCATAGTTTCCCAGCTGTGCGGAAAGGCCTGCCTCTGTATAGTTGATTGAAATTGGAGCCTTCTCCCCTGCTGGGTGGTAGGCAGCAGTGGGGAGGAGGGAGAGGCCTATTTCAAGGTTCCATGGTGACAACCCTTGTGAGCATGGTGTGTGCCCGTTTGTCTTCAAAGTGGAAGAGTGTCAGCTGGATGAGAACAACATGCTGATCCCCATCGCTGTGGGTGGCGCCCTGGCAGGGCTGGTCCTCATCGTCCTCATCGCCTACCTCATCGGCAGGAAGAGGAGCCACGCCGGCTACCAGACGATTTAGCGTGGCAGCGCCGCTGCAGACCTGCAGCAGCTGCAGGGCCTCTGTTCATTTCCCTGAGCTTAGATTGATGTTGAGGGAGGCACACTTTATTGCAAACTGATTTTCAAATCTGCTTTATCCAATGTGAAATTCATCCTGCAACATTTACTATGCACAAAAGAGTAACTATTAAAATGACGGTGTTAATTTTGCTAACGGGGTTAAATATTTTGCTAACTGGTTAAATGTTAATATTTACCAAAGTAGAACTTTAAGGGGAGGGTAAGAGTGCTTTTCTAAATGGGCACTGGCTCCACTATCATTTGGCTTTTTAAGGTTCTGGTGTTTGGTTTCTTCATTCCTGACTCATATATAAGCCTTACAAAAGGAGGGTCTCTGCTCTTAACATTTTTGACTGATGAAGTCTGGCTGTTAGACTGACACACTTAAGAAATTAATAGAGAAAAACAATTTAAAACAGAAGTACTTCAAAAAATGAAAATCTGTAATGCTTAAATTAAGCTTTAGAAGCCAGGACAGGCCCGGCCTCCACAGGCTGCACAGCTCAACACTTGCACATCAGAGCTACTGGGGCGTCAAGTCCTTTGGT